TTTTTTTTTTTGCATGAGCAGCTGTAATGAAAGGCAGCATGTTTCATTCATTCAGAGGGTGTCTGTCTGGTTTGCTCAATGAGGATGGCAGCCTAAGGGCCCAGCGCACCAGTGGTATCATGCAGGCTCCAGGGGCCAGGTGGGGACAGCCAGAACCACAGAAGGGCTGGGAGCTGCCCATGGCCATGTACATCTCAGAGCTGAGAGCTGGAAAGTCCTGGGTTGCCTCTGGAGGCTTCCCTGTGCTTGGTGCTGCGAGGGCAGGCCTGTAGCATTGGCATCCTCAGTGAGATAGTGGCTGTGACTGGTGACCAGTGTCTTTTCCTCTTTTGAACTAAGCTTTCTGCCACAGGGCCAAAACCTTCTTATCAAGTTTTTAGCAAAACATTTTTTTTTCTAAATAATACATTCTGTTTTGTGATTCCCCTATTGTGTACACAGGCTTAGAGAAAACGTGCTGATAAGCCTTTTTTTACTGAACTGCTAAAGGACATTCACTGCGGGTATCTCCTGAGGGAAGGTGACCAAAACTCTCCCCATTACAGGCTAATATGTTTTAGTCCTCATTAGCTAGGACAAACAGGAGAGTCTTTGAATTGCTGCTCTACTATCTCAAGGGTCACCTTATTTTATATTTGTGACAAACCACAGTGTTTGCACTATGGTGAAGTAACCTTGATTGCCCATTCCTGCTCTCTGTCAGGGTCAGAGGGGCAAGTGTAATGCAAAAATTAGGTTAAGGTGACTGGAAGAGAGGTCTCTGACAACACTGTGGGAGCCCAGCATTACTTAGGACCCTTTTCCAGTGTGGATAAAACTTTTCCAGGGGAATAAAAGAGAGCAGTAACATATTGAAGCACACTAATATACTGACGCACAAGAAAAGGTACAAAATCAGGAATGTGGTTCAAAGTACATTCTGTTAATCTTTCAGAATATCTGTGCCAAATGCGAGAAGTACCCAGCTGCAAAGCATTCAAATTGCCCTGATTCCGTTCTTCAAATATGAGTAGAATCTTATTGTATCTTACTCTAGTGCATACACACAGCTCCCACAGCCACCTCTTGAAGCTGGAGAAGATCCTGAGGTGGGTGGGGAGGGCACATTCGTTATGCCCCAGGAGTGATGATGAAAATGGTAACAGTGAAGAGGAAGCAGTGAGCAAAATCCTTGCACTTGTTTACGTAGAATGATAGAATGGTTTGGGTTGAAAAGAACCACAATGATCATTGAATTTCAACCCCCCGCTATGTCTAGGGTTACCAATCACTAGACGAGGCTGCTGAGAGCCACATCCAGCCTGGCCTTGAGACCACATAGTGGTCTGAAGTCACAAACATATCTTTTTTGAGTGAAAAAAGTGTAATGAAAATTAAAATATAGTCTAAGAACAAATAGTTTGTAGGACTGAGTAGTGAACAGAAATGAATTATACATGGGTGTTTTATAGAACCATGGAATCATAGAATCACCAAGGCTGGAAAAGACCTCCAAGATCATCCACTCCAACCATTCACCTATCACCAATATTTCCCCACTATACTATATCCCTTAATTAAGGGAAAAGAGGCTATCTTTTCTGTAAGTTTCAGGAGGACTGCTTACTGATACCATCCTTCAGACTTAATGAATAGAAGTCCCTCTGATTATGACACAGTAGCACTCACTATACAGTCAAGTTTTAGGCCTCCATGCAGTAAAGAGTTACAACATTGGCTTATCTGCCCTTGAGAGAGCAAATAGCTACCCAACAACACCAGTGTCTTTTGCACTACACTTCAGCTAGGTGCCAGAACTTGCAGTGAAGCTAGCTTCAAAAATGAGAGTGCTATTATTGGACTGAGATCAGTTTTCAGAAATGCATGTGCAACAGATTTTCCAAGGCAAGACCCACAGAACATTTGTTCAGATGCTTCATTAGTGCACATTTGCTGACAATGTGAAAAAATTAGTGCAAACCAAATGAAGTTCATCATGGAATAAACAGCCTTGCTGATCTGGCACTGAGTAGAAGTGAAGTTATGCAATATCTTGCCTTGAAACTTACTATGTACCTTAGTGTGCAGGTATGAGGCTCAGGAGACTTTCTGTGCTGCCTTGAGAGGCTTTTCAATTGTGGCTTTTTTTGAGAAAGCCCTCTGGCTGGTAGGGCTGCAGAAACTGGAGGGTTTCCTGCAGCTATACTGGGTTAAGGTACCTGCCCAAAGTTGTTGGTCAGTGAGAGCTGGGAGAATATGTATTCCAGATTTGGGCTATTCCCTTCATCTGTCTTATTTATGACTTTTCTTAGCAGCAGCACAACTCTACTAAGTCTCGAAGGTGGTGGGAGAGAAGGTATGCTGCCCAGTGTGTACTGTGCATCTGAAACCACTGTACATGGGGGGAAAACCAGGAGACGCCTCTTGCCCCAAGAAGGGATGGCGATGGGTTGAGCTTTGTTGTGCAGCTCAGGATCCAGCCATACCCACTATGCGGTCCTCTTGGTGTCATTCATTCTCTCTCCAGACCTGTGTTTAGACAAATAATTTAAAAGGGAATTACCACACTTGGGACCCAAATCTAGAGCATCAATTAATTCTGAATAGGACTTATGACTCCTGTAGCCTTCTGAAGTGAATAGCATCTTTCATATAAGAAAACTACTTGGTGTGAATAAGAATATTGGAATTCAGCCTGTACTATTTTGCTTGGATTCCTGGTGTAATCTCGTAAGTTTGTTTAACTTAAGCAGTGAATCTTAACTTTTAAATCAGAACTAAATTCTCTGCACAGATGTATTTAAATACCCTCGGTACTTCTTTTTCTGCTGATGTTTGGGATCATCAGTGTTTTGGCTGTCAATTAATTTGTAATGTATTTTATCTGGCAACTGTGTCTCCTGCACACCTCTCTGACTTGCCCGTGTGAATAGGTGGTTCCCTGGTTCCCTGACTCCTAGCATGTGGTATATTTTTTTTTTGTGGTTTTTTTTTTTTTGATGTCTCATTTTGGCTTCCTATCATCTACAGTGAAAGTCACATTAAATCCACTTCAAATAGCTTCTCTTAGTTTTGGCCTTCAAAAAGATGGATTATTTTGAATAGTTTTAGTAAAAAAGTGCGCTTTCCTCCCCATGATGCATCATGGGTTTCTGAGCAGTAAATTTCCACCTGTGTCGAAGACCAGTGAAGCTACCAGGGTTCTGAGACTTTATGCAAAATACAAGTTATAATGCTACTAGTCATCGTTATGTTTGTCTGCGGGACTTACTATTCAATCACTAATCAGCAGGTGTTACCAAATGCTTATATTTTGTCATTTTAATATTTTAAATTAGTGGCTAATGGAAAAATAATCTGGAACTTCTTCACTATTTCTCCTGCCAAATTCATTTATGAGAAAATTAGTGAGAGCTAAGCCTCAGATTTTTACATATGGAGACTAGGGGTATTAACCTTATTTTTTGCACGTGCATGGTTCATAGGTGCTGAAGACACTAACGACAAACCTAAAGCATTTATGTTTCATTGTCACTTCTCATACATAAATGAAATATGACTCTAAAAATTCTGAGATCAGTCAGTCCAACTAACTTAAGGAAAATATCTCAGTAATTTGCAAGTAGGCGCCAGCCATGACAAGAACTAATTGACCTTCAAACATGTTCTGAGCTGTGTCAGGTCAACATTTTATTTTTCATCTTGGCCACTCTCGAAAAGATAAGATCAAAACTTCCAGGAAACACTTTCAGAAGGAATACTCCTGCCCTCTCTAATACATATGTGTGTGCATAAGAATGTGCTTTGCTTGTGCCTCTGACTTAAGCAGTAAAAAAGATGTTCTATCTTCAATCTTTGGGGAAAACTGTGAGGAGAGTGAGAGGTTTACCAGCTTGAACTGAAGTAACAAATCTCCTTGTTAGACTACCAGCAATTTGTGCTTTTGCTAAAATTTGTAAAATAACAAGATTTTTCTTTACCAAAGAAGCTGATCCATCTTGGGTCATTTAGCAGCTGACAATTTGAGCCATGTAAGCAGCTACAAAAATACATTATCAAAATCTAACTTGAATAGCTGTTCTTATCAGTGGGGATAGCATTTAAATTACTTCATTTTTAAATCCCACTCCTTCCCAAGGTGTGCAAACCTCACTCATGCTAGGGCCCACTCTTCCGAAGAGCATCCCTCGCCCCAAACCCAGCACCTGCCATCCTGCCCCTAGTAAAATAAGTTGGCAGATTAGTGTAAAGGACCTTGATTGTGTTTCCCCCTTCACTTCCCTGGGAGAGAAATGAGACCCAGAGCAGCGCTCTGCTGGTTGCAGTGTGTTTGATGATGTCAGGTTCATGGATTAAATTAGTAAACTTTGCATGCCCTACCCATTTAGGAAGAAATTACAAGGTCTCCAGAGATAATGCTGTGGCCATTCATAGAATCACAAGGTTGGAAAAGACCTGCAAGGTCATCTAGTCCAACCATATTATGATTCCGTATTTAGCCATTTGTAGCTTTTCAGCTCCATAATTAGAAAGAGGATAGTTAAATAGCCACATCAGTCCAAGGAAAGATTTTTTGATTCTCTCTGTTATGTCACTGAAAGCAGTGGCAAGAATAAACCACTGACTGTGTGGCATGAGCCTTAGTGGGTTAGGAAAAGAGAAGACTAGTACTACCTGTAACTTCAGAGGAGGTCTTGGCTCAGTTGTTTCATTACCTTGCATTTAGAATATCATGTACTTGCAAAGTAAACCTAATGACTGACTAAAAATAGCTGATGTACACCAGAATATGAAAGACATTCTACACATTGAGCAACACGACTGTGAGTTGAGAAACAGACTCACTATCTTAATTCATTTTAATTATTATTTATGTAGCAGAAATGCTAAGTCATGGCCTGAACCATTGATTGAGCACCTGGTGAAAAGGCAGGGCCAACTTAAAGGAGCTCAGGTGTATGCAGTACAGCTGAGTGATAAGAAGGGATAGAGCCAAGATCCACCCTTTTCCCAGACCTCATTTAAGGATTGGCAGTAGAGGCACATGTATTTCTCTGGACTTCCCTGTTTATTGAAGGCCTTCTGAAGGTAAGTGCTTTCTCTTTCTTTGTTTCTGTATCTACAGCTTCTGCATTTGGGCTTGTTCTCATTTGATGCAGCCTGGGATTGTGCTTCCCTGCGTCTGTCACTGTGCTTTCTATCATATTTTTGCATTGTAATTTATTAAAATCTACAGTGTAAACCACTCAATCAACCTAAAAAATAGCTTCATTTGCTTTAAAAATAACAGGATTGTAAGTAGAAAGATTAAAATTAATTTGAAATAAAACTTCGCTGATTTTAATCCATGCATGTAAATATAAACTTAAAGAGAAATTTAGGAAAGTGATAAAATACATCTTTGGTTCAGGTGGGCTGGACTGCACATTTCCAATGAGAAGAATTTTTATATATTCAGTAATATTTGTTGTCCAAAAAATAAAATCCTTTGAGGTTCCTAGCATCTGAAATTAAACTCACAAAAACCTAGTCTAAATGCAGGAGAATGATAAGAAGGATATCATATTGAATGCCTCTCCTTTTGCAGGGGAAAAAAGTACCAGCAACGTGTTCCTGGACAGAATGTACTGGGGAAATACTGGCTACATGTACTATGTGACAATTGCAGTCACTTCTACTTGGAAGTGTCAGCACTGCCATACAGAGAGGCACAAGGACCTTACTAAGGTATACAAATGTCTAAGTGAAGACAAATATTACTGTTAAAGCCAAGGTCCAAGCACCTTAAAACTTTAAATATGAAAAATGGAGAGTGTAAAAAAGTAATATGAGAGAACTGTAAAGAGGAGGAAGGGATTGTGCAAGACAGAGGTTCTAGGATAAGGTGAAATAAGTCTGATAGATGTGAAAGTGTCAGTAGCAAGAAAATAGAAGGTAGCCCTGCTTGGCTATATGTATGTGTGTGTTGGGAAGTGTTAAGAAATCTGAGTACAAAATCATGGTAAATCCAATATTTCCTGATCACACAAATTGAAATTCTGAATATGAAATGCAAGCAAATACAGCAAAAGCTGTTATAGACCACTGAGTGCCTGGCTACCACAAAATAGCTGGGATCTCTGTTTCATGGTTCTGAAGACATATCTTGACTTGATCTCATGTGATCAACAAAAGAAAGCAGCCAGTACCTGAGCAGCCTGTGCTCCTAGAGCTTTCTTGTCCCACAGGTATCTTTTTCTGCAGCCGTGGAAAGAATATGACCAAGTCCAACTCAAGATTTCTTCACTATCCAGCAGACAGAACCTTTTTCTTTTTATTTTTCCTGAAATAAATGAAGAGAGAGTTCTGATTTATTTTTTTTTAACACTGTTATAACTAGGGGAGTTTGGTGTATTTGTCAGGTCATGTCGTCTTCCACCTTTAGATGGAAAGAAAAAGAACACAGCCAAACACACTTGGGCAACAAAGTGATAGGAGCAATGAGGCAGTTTAAATAAAATAAAATAAAAAAAAAAAAACCCTTGTTATGACAAGTTACTAAAACCCACAAATGAATGCAGAATTCCGCTATTTAATATAGTGCATGCTGATGTTTAAGCAGGTCTATATCTGTCAAACAAGCCACTTTTCTGAGACTGGCACAGACTGTTCTGCATTTGGTTTCCAGAATCAGCAAATTACATTGGCAGAACAAAGCTGTCATATTTGGTGGTATTTTGTTACATCCATTATCTCACTTAAGTTTAGACATATCTTAGCAAAATCAGATCCCACTTAAAGACTGCCTTATTTTGCAACATTAAACAAAATGACAGCCTGCTTTAAAAAAAGTTCATTAGCAAGCAATGAGTTGGTGGAAAAACTGCATGGCTGCTTCAGAAATGAAGAATGAAAGCCTGAAACATGGTAACCTTTCAGCAGCGGGCCAAGAGCATACATCAGGATTATTTGACTAAACAAGAGTATTAAATGACTTCAATAAACAGAATTAAATAGAATGAAAAGAATCAAGGATTCTTTGAAATTGATTAAAGAGGTGTTACCTCAAGACTGCTGGGAAGAGATGGCACCATGGACCACTTATGCTTCAATATAACCTATATGGGGCAGTCATAAATTGTGATAATGAAAGGTCTTTGTCAGCTGGAAGACAGTAGGTACACAGCAAGATTGATTGCAATCCACCTTTGAAGAGGAAGGTTATGGCATGTCTAGGTACTTCTCTTTGGTTCAGTTTCTCTGAGGTTTTCTGATAGTCAGATTCCTTTGAAAAGTGAAATTCAGTTTTAATTCTTCAGAAGAGTGAACTAGATGTCTACTATCCTGAAATAAAGGTTTGGAGGTGGTAAACTGCCATGCTTCAGTTTAGATTTGCATTTACATGATGGAGCTGTTTTGTTTTTAAACAACTTCCCATTTCCTGGTTACATATTGTTTTTCTCTTCAGAAGGCTAGGCCTGGTCTGGTGATGATGAATAAAGCACCTGACACAGAGGTGATGTGATATCATGGGCTACCTAGTTATGCCCCAAGAACATGGTTTTTAGCTGGAGATGGAACATCACTAACACCTTTCTTATTGCTTGCATTGTGAACATCCAAGATGTCACAAGCCAGTTCTTGTGGTGCATGGTCACATACAGGTGTGCTACGGAGCAGCTTGGGGATATGTGATGGTAAAAGATATACTATGCCTATATAAACCTAGGGAATTACTGCACCAAGTTAATGTTGTCCAGAAAGGTAAACGTCCCAGGCACCACCAGGGGCATTTACCTGAGTACATCCATCCATAAATTCCACCCTGTACCCAGTGACGCAGGTGACTGAGCACAGATAGGGTTGGATTTGTTTGTTTGTTTGTTGTAATAACTTAGCTGCTTTTAACCTCTCAAGGGAAATAGCATTCTTTGAAAAAAAATGTGTGATGCTTCAAAAAGGTTATTTTCAATGTTCTTTTATTCCCTGCATCTTAAATAGTACAAAGAGTTGCAGTGATACTATGGACCTGTAATTATAGGGCTTGGGGGACAGCCTGTCTTTTCTAGTGTTTTGAATTCACTTCTGCTGCAACAATACAGACAAGAAAAGAACTTGCTGGCTAACCCTATCATTTTAATGAAAGTCTCACTTCAGCGTGTGCTTGGAAGAAGGAAGGCTCACAGCTGCTTATGAGAATCATACTCCCCCTGCTCTTGCCACATACACCCGTGGGGGCACACTCTTCAGAAGTTATTTTGTGACTTCTATTGGCATGATGGGGCTCAAGACTTGTTTTAAGGTGGGCAGGTTCCAAGTTGGATATCAGGAAGTATTTCTCCTCAGAGCAGTGAGACAGTGGCACAGCCTGCCCAGGGAGGTGTGGAGTCACTGTCCCCAGAGTTGTCCAAGGAATGTGTGGATGTGGCACTGAGGGGTGAAGTCAGTAGGCATGGTGGGGATGGGCTGACAGTTGGACTGGGTGATCTTAGTGGCCTTTTCCACTCTGAATGATTCTATGACTCTGTGATCTAGGGCTGATGAAAGCAGTTAAGAAAGATTATTCAAAGTTTCTGACAATGTATTTGCAAAAGACTATTAAAAACTGTGCTTGGATATGTATTAGAGGGGGCAAGAGAGAGAATTTTTTTTTTTCAGAAAGTGAATAATGTCATTGTTGATTTAATTAGCAAATTCTAGATGTGCTGACAAAGGAAATTTTCTTGGGAGATGCACTGTGTTGTGTCAGTGGTCTAAATGAATAGGCTGAGCTGAGTTTCTGGTAATAACAGATGAACAACACAACTCGCCAAACCTCAAACAGTGCATAAATCAATTTGCTGGGAATTAACCACTTGCTTTAAAATTAGGGGTTACTTGACAGGGTTTCAGTGATTAGGTTGTCAGGGACCTGTACTTCTAGCTGGGATTTATCTTTCATTGATATAAGTACATCCCCTTACAGGCAAAGGAGTGAGTAGGGATAGCAGTCTGAAGCACCAGGCTGGTTAGGCAGTGTGGTTTTATTCTTTGTAAGTACTAGGCGGCATTTGGAGGTGGACAAAGGAGGGAAGAACAGGGACACTTATCAAAAAGAAAATGTGCTGGCTTTGTGAACTACTAATAATGCCCAGGATATTAGTACCAGAATGGTGAATGAGGGGAAGCATTTCAGAATCCCTGCACATCACATGGCCCTTCCGTGCAATAAGGAGCTTAACAGTTTGTTAAATGAGATGCCGAAAAATGTTCAATTATACAGAGAAATTAATGGAAAGCAGTAAGCCACTTGGAGGTCACTTCATCTTGTGAAAGTTGAGCATTCATGTAGTGTACAGAGCCAGGGCACCATTTTTATGATTAAACTTATATTCCCATATACTTCAAACAATGGCAGATGGTAGACAGAGCAGTGAGATTAGGTACATATGGTAAACGTGGGGGTGGGGGGAGGTATGGGACAGACAAAGCAAAGGATCATAGACTCTGGCGGTCAAATCAGAATGTAAAAGATCAATAAAATGTTCATAGAAATTGGCCTAGGAAATACCAAGGGTCATCTGTCAGGTCTATTTATTGCAGCATTCCTGCTTTATTTTACTTAGCCAGTGGGGAATGTCCATCCCCCTCACTTCCCTTATACTGGTGATCTCTTTCACTGCTCAGGCACACTTAATATCAGAAAATAAGTCTGAAAATTTCCCAGACAGCAATGCAGGATAATCATCTATGCTGTCCCAGTGATGGACTTCAGTTATCATGGTGTCTTGCTGGGCTTCTTTACAATCTGAATCCTCCTCGTGATACTGGCTCCCAAGTCACCATTTTCTCTTAGGATCTCATCTTGGGACACTTGCCTCCCAGTGAAGACACATAAATACACCTTGCTTTCATTTTTGGTGAAATTGGGAGTCTATGCTTAAAATCTTTACTGCTGTGAAATAAAAGCTGATGAAATCAAAGGCAGTCAGTAGAAAATCTTTCAAGACAGTGGATTGCCACTTGCTTACCATTACAGAATTAGTGTCTGGCAAACCCTGAAGCTCCCTTTGGGCTTCCTTGTCCATCTCATCAAGGGGGTTATCCACAGGCAGCTTTGCTTTGATCTCACACTAAAAGTCTTTCTCTTCTCCAGTTCTCTCTTTGTTCTCTTATTCTTCCTTTCAGCTCTCTGACCTGTACAAACCAAACCCAAGTATTTCTGACAATTTGGGTGTGTGCTAGCATTCTTCTTTCTGCTCTCCTTCTCTGATTCTGTTCTGTCGTCATCCACAACTTCTCCCTCATTTTCTCTGCTCCTATCTTTGATCTCATTCCAATATTTATTTCCCTCCTTCCCCCCTGCCCCCCCCCCAACCCCCCAACATGCTGTGTTTCCTCTTTATTTTGTACTTTCTGCTTTTTCTCTTTGATCACTTTCAAGAATGTGATAATTACTTCTAGGTTTTTTTGGCCCCGGATGTTGTACATGCCTTGATATCTAACTTTAGCCCTTTCAGTAACTCATTTTTTAGCTGGGTGGCAGGAGCTAGTTCAGAATCACTAGTTTGCTTTAATTTGAACTCAGAGTCCCCTGTGCACCCCAACCAAGCTGGCTGCAGTGGCAGCTTAGCCAAACCTAGAATCAGCCAGGCAGCCCAGACCTCATCTTTGCTGTGCATTTCACCTCCCATAATGCATTACTCTACATAATGATAGCCTTCATCCAGATGACTCCTGACTAGGTCCTGTTGGAAGCTCCAGTGCAC